ATGTGGGTGTATACATCCATTAAATGAAATAAAGAAATTCCGAAGAATTTTGATTTTGAATTTTGAAAATCTCCCGTATGTGTGCACTGCATTTTTGAAAGCACCCGGCAGCAATTGGTTAAAGGATCAAAGCAATCACTGTTTCTCAGAATCACTTTTTGTGTGTATTAAAACTTTTCTGTATGAAAACTGTTTCATATCTTTTTCAAGTTAAGTGAACTGTAAAGTGGACTTTTTTAATTCAAAACTGACCAACCTTCCCAGATGCCTTCTTGTGTGAGGGATTTGGAGGAAACGTTCCTGTAGGTTCGTTTCATCGGACAAAAACAACCACTTCATGCCGGGGCATTTTTCAATGTAGATGTTGCTGGGCCGGCATGACTATTATTTTTTCCGTTTTCAAAATCCTTCAAAAATTCATCATTTCATTTAAGGGTCGTTTATAGCCACACCAAGTAATTTTTAGGCACTACTCTAAGTTGAGAGGTGACCTTCATTGACGCCCGATTATATCAGCCAGGCCAGCAGCCTTGTAAACAGAGCCCAGATTGTGCGGTGTTGTATAACTGTCTCTTGTTCACGAACCTGGCTTAGTGCACTGCTGACCTCTTTTCAATAGGGGCCAGATTAGCGTGCAGCGGTGCTGTGTGGCTCATCGCTGCGGTGGTGGAGCGCTTTTGTCCCTGGTAGTAATCCGCTCGCTCTCAATGCCCCAAACCCTGGTATACGATTTCAAGACAAGGCTGGATTATCACCATTTTTGAGAGTGAAAAATGTTGGTAATGCCCAGCAGCCTGGTCTTTTGTTTGGAGTACGGTCTTTTGTTACAGGGCCCTGTTTCTTTTGTCCCGAGTTCGGCGACCCCGGCCACCCATATAAACCATACGTCTCCGATCCCGGAGTCCCCGGCAGGAAGTGGTTAACTCGGGATTTTTGTGCCTTTTGTCATAAATACTGTATTCCCTTGTTTAATTTTTCTGGCAGAAATTTGTATCACTCTTTGAGAAAGAAGGCATCGGTATGGTGGAGCTGCCCTACCTTAGCGAGGAGAGGCTTGAAAATATCGGGGTGCCGACTGGCCCTCGGTTACGCATCCTGCAAGAGGCCCAGCTGATGGTGTGAAGTTGGACAAGGAGGAGATGGGATGAACAGGCCGAGATAAGGGGGTCTAATCAGAGCCTCAAGAACAGTCTTCAGTCTTTACCTTTCTCTGGTTTCGCATCTTGGTGGAAGCTCAGTCATGGAAGTACCCAGTGTCCATTCTTAATAAAGTTGTCGGGCACTGGAATTTACTGAGTGCGGAAATGTTCTGGCTGAGGAAAATGAGGTTTAACCCGTGCTCTTTTGGTGTAATTTGAAGCAAGTCTGCCAATACCATCCACACAGGACTTTGGAGGGTGCCAAACCTTGTCAGCAAAGATTCCAAAGAGAGTGAATTGAAGGGTGCCATTTATACATAAACAATCAGCTTAACATTCCTTAGAATGTGTTGCTGACCTCTGCTGTAGTACTGTTTCTTCAGTAAAGCATTGGCTAGACATCAAAAAAGAATGGTGAAGTGATGTAGTGGAGGTGACAGGGCTAAAGGGTTAATTCCAAATAAAATGTGAGGTGTATAGAGTCTATGCAAATACCCACTTAGGAGTAGCGATGTCACGTGTACTTTGACCCATGTAGATATGAACCAGTGTAAACATGATGTATGTCCCACACTCATGAGTTTTTGAATGAGGACACGGTGCCATCCACTGTTGAGTCCACCTGCTTCTTGACATGGCTATAGCAGAGTTTTGCTTTGCTCATAAATTTAGGCACACGTTTATTTGCTAAGCAATTTTGTGGCATCAATTTTTTTCATCTTTGCATTTTGAATCGCATATTTAATTCAGATTCAGCATATGTGATATTATTTATTTGCATGTCTTTTGAAATAGTTCACTTCTCGTTTGGAGCCACAACATCCCAGCTTTTCGATTGTTACAAAACTGTGCTTTCCAAATTGTATTTATACACATTTTGTTGTAAATATTGTGTACATAACTGTAATTAGTTTTGTAACTTGCCATTTCCAGTATGCATCATACTTTTTATGATTATTTAATATTTTTAAAATTAGTTTTTAGTATTTGGTAGGTGTGAATCCCTCCTAAACCTCTGTTTAACCGGACCTTGGTCAAAAACAAAGTCAGTATGCTTTAAATTCCCCCATGTTGTTTTTTATTTTGGATTTTTTCCATTGAGAGTCTTCACAAATTGTGATTGCTAAATCCTGGTAAACAAAAGGAGTGTTAAATGATTGATATACCTACCTTGGTGGCTGTAGTTGCTAAGTTCAGTGCATAATTTGTGTGTTAAAACATGGCACATTCAGAAATCAGTATCCTGCTCTCTGTGAACAATTTTTTTTATGCCAGTTGTATGTTTTACATGCTAATGTAGACTTGAATCAAGTCAGACTTACATTGCTCTTCCACAATCAGCCATCTCTTCACATACACATTACACGGTCATCTCGCTCGACCGCTTGTATAATAACTTCTTATAAGGCACCCTTATTTGATAGCTTTTCTGTAATTTCTGGCATCGTACAATGTGTGTCACCAGTCAGTAAGTCTGACTTGATGGATAAGCCATATTTAGATATTCATAATTGCACATGAACGACATGATCTTGCATAAGGTATATGGAATTTCCACCAATCAAAGTAGTCAGACTTGTAGGCCTGTTCATTATAATAGAGGTGTAAATGATGTAAAAACAAGTCCAGCACTTTTTGGGGGGGTAGATGAGCTGATTTGCTGTTTACAAACGGCTGGCAAATTTGTCAAGTCAGGATTTCTGAACTCACAGTAATAAGTGGACACGAGGGTGCGAAGCAATTAATGACGTGCAGCTTGGCCTCCATATCCAAAGCATTAATGCAGATGTTACGGCAGATGCTGACTTTAGTCAAGTCTGATGCTTATGTGGCAATATCTACGGCAGCTCTAGGAGGCAGAGGTCGGAGATATCTCTCGTTGTATTCTTAGGGCATCAAATGAAAATAACAGAAGTTTCTGGGATTTTTGCAAGCATTTTAGACTTGTTTGGTCCAGAAAATCAGAAGAAACTTATGAAGCCTTATCCTTTATCCCCACCAGTTGACACATGGATACTGTTTGGACTTTTACTGGGGGAGAGCCAAAGCACACATTAGCCACAGATAAACCAGCAACAATGCAATGTATTTTCATGCAAAGTGATGATTTCATCCCTTCCTTTTTTGGGGGGGGGGTTCATTTCCTTTTTATCCTTTTTGGTTCAGTCCATTTTGCTTTTCTTTTTTCCCACATGTTTCTTATATGAGGGTGATTCAGTGCTTCCTTCCCCCCCCCCCACTCATGTCTTGATTTCAAGAATGCCATGTCATCAAATTATGTCTTCTCAATCTTGTCTTCCTTTAGTGCATTTGGGCCAAGTGTATCAAAACTTTTTCAGCCTTGACATGAGAACTGCTGGTCCAGTAATGTGTAACATTAACTTAGACATGGTATTGTGCACTTGTTATTCATATTCATCAAATTGTCATATTTTTGTATCCACTTTTTAGTAATAAAATATGGCAGTATTCAAGTACAGTTTTGATGGTATTATCAGTAACAGTTTCCAGAGTTGTAGTCGAGACCATGCACAAAGACCTGGTCACAACTAGCAGGTTGAACAGTGGCAAAGAAATGCTTTTTTGTTGCAGATCTTGTGCCAGTCCTGTGCTGGTCTTGTGAAGGTCTTAAGTTGTCTCGACTATGACACTGACAGTTTCTGATTCTAGAAGGTAGGGTGTAGTAACCCCCCCCGTAACGAAATCCTCTCATTTCTCTTAGATCTGTCCAGAACTTGGGAAGCAAACAATTTTAAAAAATTCCCCCAAATCAAAACATTGCCTTGGGATTTGAACAGATGTATCATCACAGTCTAAAGTTCCTTCCTTCAAACCTGCATCTTCCTGTAATCTGAATGTGCTTTTCCACCTTGCGAGTGACTTCATCTGTGGATGGGGTCAAAACGGGCTCATTTTTAAACCAAGACGCCAGCAAATAATCGCGTATACGTTCAGGGACCGTATAAGGAAGGGTTACCGTTACACATATTGGGAGAATAGTCCCATGGTTTTTACTTTGCATTTGTGTATTGCAATTTTTCAAATCCGTCATACTGATAAAAGTGGGTAAAGCTACTGACGAATTGATGGTGATGAGAATGAAGATGATGTAAGATGACCAAAAAAGCATGAGAGGATGACATTACTGTAGTATTTAGTCCTGTGAGAAAAAGACGAAGAATTTGATGCCAACTTAAAAGAGAAAGACTACACCGAATTCCCACCTGAATTAACTCAAGTCGACAACATCGAATTATTCGTGCGGTGTAAATAGCGGAAGATAGTGAAGTGACGTCAATGTGTTAATGATGAGACTGTTAACTGACTCCACAGAATTGGAAAGGACCTTGTGCGCATGCGATATTGCAGGTTGCCCTTTCACGCGCGAGCGATTTTCATCGTCAGATCAGAGTCCCCGAGGGTTGATAATGAACGTTCCATATTTTATCCATCGCCCTGAGATAGGCTGCGTTCTGTCAATGAGCTCTGCTCGGTCTGTGCATGCATCACGCCAAACGACTGTGGCAAGTACATGTAGGTGATGCTGTGTGGATTGGAGAGGAACCTACTGGAGTGAATTAAATAGGGAAATGCTGACGCCGTGTTCCATGTGAGGATCTCGAGCAGTCACTGAGCACGCGCGGTACCGCATCGGAATACAGTTATTGATGGTTATTGGGCAATGTGAAGGCACATAAAAATTGCACGGACACATGGTGCTGTCTACGGTAGACGGGAGTGAATGATGCAGGGTCGTGTATGCCAAATGCGTGTGTGCGGTGTGTTACTCGCTCATTGTATGCGTCCCACCCTTACGGCTGTCGGTGAAATTTCCTCATTCATAATGAGCCTGTAAAGTGACTGAAGACACACATGCACATGTACAACATTGTGTGTCCTAACTCTGGCTGCCTTTGGTACCACCCGCTTGAATAAAATATTTGATTCTTAAATCTCGAAGATGTCGACGGACATCGATGGATGTTGACTCGGACCTGTCATCAGGAGATGGCATGTAACGTTGGATAAGGAGGCATTCGTCTTACGTCATGCAACGGATTGCCCGAGGTGAAGACGGTATTCTCGCTCTCCAGTGAACTCCGCTTACGCAGGATTATTGCACCGCGCTAGCTTCCGTTCTCGGTATGGTGATGGACGAACCATTTGCAATTTTCCTACAGGAAGCAGTGATTTTAAGAGGTGTGAAGGTGTAAAGAGATTATCACCCGAATGTCTACTATTTAGCTTCCGTGAAGGATTGTGGGTGATAAAGGTGCAGTTTGGTCGGACGAGTTACAGAAGCACAGGCAAGTGTAGACATTATGGCCGCTTCTTCGCTACTTGAGAAGATAGGAGATTTTCTAGAATGTCAGATTTGTCTAGAAACCTTTAAGCATCCAAAGGTCTTACAATGTCTTCACACATTTTGCCAAAATTGCCTAGACCAGATGGCACCGAACGGGACAAATACAGTTGTGTGCCCCACCTGCCGTGGAGAGACCGTTCTACCTGGGGAAGGAGTTGTGGACCTTAAGAACAATTTCGTCTTGGCTAACTTGCTTGAGTTAGTGACCTCGCTACAGAAACCTTTAGTTGGTGAGATCACTACTGACGGGAATTCCAACACTTCCTTTCTTTGCTCAAACTGCGACGATGACAATGCGGCACACGCCACTTCACGCTGCCTCAACTGCTGCGAATTCCTTTGCGCCGAGTGCGTGGCGGCACATCGCAGGCTAAAGGCCCTGCGCCACCACGTCATGCGGGACATCCGCGCCTGGCTAGCGGCCGGCCAGCAGGTGGGCACTAGTCGCGATACGGGCACCGAGCCCAATGGCCACCAAGCCGGCACCGTTTACACGTGCGCCGAACACACCGATGCCGAGGTGACGACATACTGCGAGGCCTGCGATCTGCTGATCTGCGACACGTGCAGCCGCACTGAGCACGTGCGGACCCCTCATCGCCTGGTCACTCTCCACGAAGCAGCCGAGAGACAACGGGAGGAGATCAAGACCATCCTGGCCGATTGCAAAAGGAAGCTTGGAGTCTTCTCCACGGCCATCGAATGCACTGTTCAGATAGCCAGGGACCTCCAACGACGCACCGACCGCGCCCAGAAGGATCTACAAAATACTTCCCGTGAATACATGCGCCTGATTCAAGAGGAGCAAACCCGCCTGATCAACGAGCTCCACAAGAAGAAAGAAGACAAGGAGAGTGAGATGGCTGCGCACATCGACAGTCTCCAACGGGCTGTGGACATGATACGCAACATGTGCTCCCTTGCAGACAACTCGTTGATCAACGGGAGCCACGTGGATATTTTGCGTGCCAAAACTCAGTTGGTAAACCACAGACAGCAACTGGACCGAGTGAGTATCCGAAACATGCCGATAGATACAAGCTCCCTTCGATTCGTTCCAAGTACAGAGCCCAATGTAATGCAAAATAAACTCGGTCGCATCGAGGATTAAACAAACAAATCACGATCAAGGGCAGCTCCGGGGGGGAGGGAACGGGAGGCAACCTCCCACCCCACCCCGACCTTTTTTAAATCATGAAACAAAAAACGTGTAAAAGGCCCCAAATGAATCCTCAGTTCCTCGTTCCTTGGAAAGGCCATACGGTTACATGGAAACAGTTTTGTAATTTTGGCCCCACCCAGAAAAGTTTCCCTACCCCAGATGTTGTTCTGGATCTGCCCTTGGTCATTTATACTTTTCCATTTATACCAGAACAACTTCATGCCAGCTACTGGCGGAGTGGGTCCTATGGGATCGCAGATGCCTAGGGCTAAGGTGACGGCTCTGTAGCGAGTATATCTCTTAGGTGGCACTTGTCCGCTTCTAATGCACTAGTCTGTAACTGCATCCACATTTTGTTTCCTCTAACCCTTTTAAAGTGGGTTTGTTACTCGCACAGTAGTTTATGCACATCGCAGCTTTCCAAAACATCAAGACAAAAATGTAGATGTGAACTTATCCTGCAAATAAAGACAGCACAAAAACAAAAGTTATAATTAAACACCTTTAGAATGCAGCAAAGTACGGGGGAAATCCCACATAAGCAAAAACTATCAGGCATTCAAGGCACAATGTAGAGTAGAATTTTATATCCAGTGGTATATTCTTCAAAAACGGAGGGGTCAACAAGTCGCCCCCGTGGTTTGCAGTCGAAAGGTCAAAAGACAGGCGGTTGGACTTCGGTGGGAGGGGGATTTTATGAGTCATTTTATTCATCGTACCGGAAGTATTCCTGCCTTTGTCTTTTGTATATTCCTACTAGATGCATTCCAAAATTTGTCGGCTCTGGAAGACTTTATTATTGGCATCAACAGACATTATATAATACTTGACAGAACCGTGTAAGTCCGATGATGGTTCTGGTTTTTTACATTCCAAACTCTTTTACACTCACTAATATTATAGTAAATGCACATGCAAATAAAATATTCAGAATTCAAGCTTCATAGAAACATTAAAATGTTGTTCTTTGTGTTTCATTCCAATGGAAATCGCGTGGTTAAAAACTAATTGAAATAAATGTGGCCTTTGTATATGAGCTTTGATATTCTCGCGTGAAAGAAAATTATTTAAGATGACACTTGTCCTAGTTGTGTTTAATGCGATGATTCATCATTGTACATTGGTAGCATGATTTATTCCGGTAACTGGCCACATTTTATTTAATAATTATTGTCACTTTTTCTTTTGAAATTAATGTAGGTTTTTTACAAAATTCCGAAATAAAATTTCACACGAATGAATAAGACTGGATAATTTTTAATGTGATATTTGTTTTAAGATGCCTATTTTTTCAATATCATGTGAATATTTGAATGTGATTTTTATGTATAAACCTTACTGTCAAAGATTCTGAAAATTTGAGCATCTTCTTATTTAATTAAAAGAAACGGTGTAATGGAATTTTTACACGAATACACGAAGCACGGCTTTATTCACACATAATGGTAACATTTCACCTCTTTTGAAGTAGTAAATGGAAGAAGTTTCAACATGTCGATTTTGTGCTAATGGATACTTCTATATTCATGAGCCAAAGTGCGATGTCATTCAATTCAAGGCAGAACAGGAGCGTTTCGACAGTATTGTGCACAATCATTATGTATAACATTTTCCTACATTTTTGGAGTAGTTTCAGCTTGGTTTTCATGTTAAACGCCATATTTATACAATAGCAGTGACCAGCATTTCTTCCAAACATTTGTGACAGTTCGTTTTCAAGGATAGAGGGATCCCAATACGACACTTTCAGCGTCAATCTGCGCACTTCCACGTTTGAATTCGAGGCTGTATGTGTCAAGTAAGGAGTCAAGAAACAAAATACATAAAGGTGATTCAGACTTTTCAGGCAGCGAATTTTTGTGGAAGAGTCTTTCAAGATGACTCGACACGTAAAAATCAAAAGAAAAAACAACGGCAATTAACGCGAACTAACATACCCGCGACGGTCGTGCATCTTGTGCAGTGGGCGTGGTTTAAACTGAAGTGGCGTCACACTACGAACCAGATTTACTGCATGTACTGTGGGGACTCTGCGGGCGCGCAATGAAGTTCAGCACAAAGAGCCTCGGTTTCGATGCGGATATGAGCAAACGGAGCTAATGTGAAACCCCTCTATTGTTTTGTCCTGTTTCTCCTTTCTGCTTTTTCGTTCTTTGCCCAGCGCCCGAACAGCTTTGGAGCTGGGCGACAAGCAAACACTCTTTTGTCAAAGAGTGCCTTATGGTTGCAGGCCAGTAAATAGGTCCAATATTGCCTGCGCGGACCAAATCACGATTTGTAGCTGTCTAATTCTCTGCTATTAGAGCCTTTCGTAACACGTGGACTAGGTGGTTTGTTAAAAAGAAATGCAGGTGCAGGCCTGTCAGGACCAAACGGGGCCCTCCAAACTGTTCTATTTTGCCACGGGGTGGCATCAATTTCCAAAATGGCGATGGGCCTCCTGAGTGTTTTGACGAAATTTTGAGCAGTGAGTTTCTCTGGAGAGAAATATCTTCAAAAGTCATCAGTTAAGCCACTGAAAATTGAAACGAAAATGAAAGATGAGGAAGTGAGCTTTAATTTGATATATGTCTTGAACACCTGTGAAATTTGTGAGTATTTTTCCTGATTTTTTTAAGTGGGGATATTTATCACTGTTGTCTATGGCAACTGACTTACTGGTCTGGACCCTTATATGACATTAAACTACTAGTGCCCTCATGCATAAGTATATTTAAATTATGGGCGTTTCACAATAATGCGCCTCCAAGAGTTTGCAACGCGTTCACCAATCAAAATGCGCGAAATCTGTCGACCCTTTAATTCCAAACGCGTATTTGCTCGACATATTGTGAATCGCCCAAAAAACTACCACCTTCTTTTGACTTCCAATGAATCATGAATACTTATTTAGATCTCATTGTTGTAACACACAGTAACATGCATGAAAACGATTAAAGTTGGACTGAATTCCCACTGCGTATACTCAGCTGTGTTGTAACAGTCGTGTGTTGTTTAGTAGGCCTATGCACGTATTATATACAATATTAATTGCAATAAAGGAAAACGCCGCTCACTATATGTAGCATTGTAATATGGTACCTTCTACATTATTTATTTATTTAAGGTCTGTTCCCCTTCCTAAGGGCTCCCCCCCCCAAAAAAAAGGTGGGTGATGTTTTTAAAAAATAATGAGAACAGGGTAATTGTGGGGTCTATTTCATTTCCCTTCCAAAAGCCTCAAAATGTTGCTTCACCCTTGGTAAAGCCACCAAAGATTGCAAATAAATAAAGATAAACTTTTGGCTCCCAAAACAACTTAGCCCTCACCCCCCCCCCGGAAATTTGCTTTTGAATTCGCTCTTACGTGGGGGCGCCATTAATAACATACAGCTATTATGATGTGTTATTGAAAGACTCCTTTGTGAAACCCACGGTGTCTTCCTCTGCTGTTCTGCTATAGTCTGCCTTCCTTTGCCTAATCCTTGTTTTTCCTCTTAGACCTGTAGGGCATCCCGTTGAATGCCCTGTAATAGCCCTAGTCCCTGAAAACTCTCGCCCTACATGACAAAACACATTTCAAAATTCTAAAAATTAGCAGAACTTTCACAAAGTTCATCTTCACTTTGCCTTAGGCCATGAGTCCCGGTTCAGAGCTCCGAGTTAACCTTTCTCTGGATGGAGTACCCTGTTCTCTCTCCGACTAATAACCTTTTAGCTTGCTGTCGGACTTCAAAATATCTTCGACGAGACATGCTGTCCAGACTGAGAGACGACGCGAAATGGCCGCCGGGAACCATACGAAGATAACGCGACGCGGATCGTTGAGCGTGTACTGGTATTTCTCGTCAGACTGAGCTAAGTTCACTGTTCCGGAGAACTGTGTTGTGCAAAATAATGGAGATTTATATCCTGGGTTTGAACCCGAGTGGGGGCAAAATGGGGCTTTTTCTGAGCGAATAATAATTATAAATTATCGACTTATATCTGCACTATATGTCAGGGTTTTTTTTCATCAGCAAAAGAACCCCCTCCAAAGGAAGGTGCAACTACCGAATCTGAAGTGCTGCTGCTTTCAATCAAAGTTTTTAGCAAAGCCATCAGAGCATGGCCTTCTTCAGACTAAAGAAAAACAGTAGGCTGGATCGAGTTGCTAACCACTATTTTCCTTTACGGTGTAATTAGCATCTGACTGGGAACTGTCTATAGTTGAGTGGCATGCTAATGTGCCCTCAGAAATAGCGGATAATTAAAGGGGGTTTTTAGTATGGGTACTGGATCACGAGAGGGCGCAATTTGTTGTTTTGTTTTAATGGCGCTTTCAGCATCTCAGGCTATTTGCGCCAATAACTGTACACTTTATTAATCAGCATCGCATTACGGAGTCAGGAAGAAGGTCCAGTTTTAGAGGCAGGAGGAAACCGGAGTACCCGGAGAAAACCTGCGAGAGCGAGTATGGGCTGGAAACCAAATGCACTTAAAGCCTGGGCCAAGCCGGGAATTGAACCCAGGTGCAAAGCGAGGAAAGAACCGCTACGCTACCCCCCCCCCGGCGCAATTTTCTTAGCAACGCTCCTTTGGTCGGACTGAACTTCGCTGGTTCACGAACGACTAGAAAATGCACGCTTTATGGTCGCATCGCCACCAACAAAATAAACAACTCCGGTTGGTCACCTGGCTGAGGGCACTGGAGATATTTGTTTGGTATTTGCACCCTGCAACGCCCCTTCCAAATACACGTAGAATTGATAGCCGCCGCTTTTGGTAACGCATTGAACAAGCTCGCCATCTACTGGTAGTACATTTCGGGCGCAACACAAAACATCTAGGATCTATCACTTCCCAGACCCCACACCCCACGCACTTTACGCTCGTCTCAGTTACGGTCCCCCCGCTTTTTTGAAAAGCGATATATTGATGCCTATAGTTTTTCCTATTCCTGCGGAGCTTTTAAAGGGATATGGGTGAGATAAAAAATTGGAAAAATGTTCGTTCCATCAAAAAAAGAGTCGTTCGAACCAAAAATAATTTGTTCGAACGAAGAAAAAAAAAATTCGTTCAAACGAATTTTCTTTTTGATCGTACGGAAGTGTATAAGGGCCACTTGCAAAAAAAATTCTCGAGATACTATCACGCCGCGACGACTTACTACCTCGTCGCGGCGAGTTAGCTAAAACTAGCTCAACTCGCTGCATATAAAAACTCAGGCTAGATACCAGACCCATTTATTCTGACTTGTACTACTCTTCTAATCAAGGGTCCTGTAGCACCCAATGTCCACGTGACCAACACTCCCCCAGATTTCTTGGAGTAGTCGACCTATTCCGAACTTATCCTATTTTCCATATTAAATTCAGTTTACCGTCAACACTTTCTTTTATGCTCCTCAAAATTATAAAAATTGTTACAAAGAGATAGCAAGTCGCCGCGGCGAGATCGTATCTCAAAAAAATGTTTTGCAAGTGGCCCTCATATGCTTCCGTACGATCGAAAGATCATTTTTTTTTCCCAATTTTTTCCCTCACCCATGTCTCTTTAAAAGCCCCGTATTTTCCCGCCTTGAAAAAAACAAGTGTGCACCCTTGGCCCCGTCAGCATCCCCTTGAAGTTTCACTCAAGTTACGCCACTACTCAAGATTTACCCCGGTCTCCATGCTTTAACCATACCTCCATGCTTTAACTAGCAATATGGTGCAAGGCCATTAGCCCTTCCCATTGCCCGAGGGCGCTATTTGATCATGGTGGTGGCGGGGGCCGGGGGGGGGGGCGAGGAGCAGGCCTGGGGTCGGGTACCCGTACCCTACCTCAGTCGTTTTCCAAAGCGCCAGGGGCCAACTGTCGCGGGAAGCTATCGTCTTTCCCTACACAACGCACCGTACGGTGACTTCGGGTCGAGTTGACCGGGTGTACGTGTTCAAGCGTGTCGCGGTGTGCCATTTGTGAGAAAAGTTCCAGGAAGTTATTTATCATATGTCAACACGGATTGTTCGTCAGCTGTGTTGTGGTGGTGATTCATCACAGTGAGTCTGCTGCAAGTTCAATTAAGTGTCAGTGCACGGCTTAGACGCAAAGTAGTCAGCTTGGGTTGGAGGATAGCTCACGTGCTGCACAGCAACAGGCGATCAACTGTCACATGCCGTGACGAATGTGCATGTACCGGTACGCATAAGCTCCGTTTTTGTGAGAGAGAGAAAATCATGATTTCCTTACTCTGGTCTGAGGACAGTTGGTCTTTGCTTCTGTTACTCTTAGGTAAGTCCTCAAATAATTCAGCGAAAAAGGAGTAATAGTAATAGCCCTTCCATTGTAGTTCTAGACAGAAATAGTCTGCAGCCTGTTATACATGTATTTGTAGGCCTACCAACCCCCCCCCCAGAACTGTGGGGTTCGATATCTGCTGCGCTACAAGGAGCGCGGCAGACGTCAAACCCCCACATTTCTGGGGGGAGTAAAAATGGAATGGACTATACATGTAGTAGTCCCAGCTGTAGAGCTATATTTAGTCTGGTAAAGGTACGAATTTGATGTTGTCGTGTCTGGCA